CTTGGTGGGTTATCATTAAAACAATTTAGCAATGTCACGATGTGGAAACATTTTACTAAATATTTTTCCAAAATAAGATAAAAAACATATTGAACAATTATAACATTTAATGAATTTTTTAACTGATGAAATTAGGCACTCAACGACTTTCAGCTTTAAATGTGAATGTATTTATCAGCATTTTATTTTTATTTTTTTGTTGGTTTCTTGCTTTATTTGAGCGTTTTGACAAGAACTAAAAACAGGAACAGATTTAAGAGCAAATGAAATCAATGATTCAATACTTGCTCTTTTTACCTTTAACGTGTGATGTTACAGCAACTACTTCGGCATAAATAATATTAATATCTTTAAAATAATAACTGCAAAATCACTAAAGTGTCCGGTTTTTTTCTTGAACAATGTTTAAATTGTTTTTTATCCAGTCAATTTACTTGAAAAACATTAACTTTAGGGTACTTTTTAATTATTTAATATTACAAAAAATTTGTTCTATGCAGCTTATAAGCCAAAACTTTTATTATGAAATCTTTTAAATAATATTTTAAAAACAAACTGGTTATTAGAGATGGGAAATAAACCGAAACAAAACCGAACAAACGGAACAAGTACCCTACTTACGACCATACCGAACCTGAACTTTAGTTGTTACGGAACCAAACCCAACTTAAACGGTTTCAAACTCAAACTTTGAAACTGTTCAATACGAACCGAACGAGCTGTTCTTACCCTAACCAAACCAAATAAAGATTTGCTGCAAAGCAAATTTTGCAATTTGCACATCACTGCTAAGTCTAAAATACATAACATTACTAACCGAAATGGAAATGCTATTAGTAAACACTGGCGATATTTAGGTGTTGTTAATGTTTTAACTTTTTATATTTATTCATATATAGTCAAATAAATTGCAGAGTACGGACACGAGTAAAATTAAATTATCATGTAAATGGAAAAAAAAAGATTTGGAAAAATTAATAGCAGACGTAGTGGCTTGCTCAGTTTTATAAATAATCAATAAATTAATAACTACCCACATCTCACAGGTATTGCATATTACAAACAAAGTTAAACTAAGAGGCGTGCATGTTTGACATTTAACTTATTACTCAACACTTAATATAAACCTTAATAACTGTGAGTCATCATGTTGTGATGAAGAAGTTGTCATGGAGTTTGCCGTTTTGGAAGCCATATAGACTTTGGTTGTCAGTGTCAATTGATCATAAAAATCTACAAAGACATAACACACCACTCATCCATATGATCAATACACTACCTAGACAAATCAAAATGATGAGCAGTCCTGTACATGAATACTAAAGACGTTTATCCTTCCTTGTGTGTGCAGGTTGATTGGTCTTGTCAATATATTCCAGCATTGATTGACATTGGCTCGACGTATGGATTAGTGTAACTTTAGGATATCATGTGTGGTTAAACAAAAATTTACATTGAATATGTTTGAAAGACGACAGACGAACTTGCTGAGGTTGCTAATGTCGCAATAACAGCTGGTCACAGGACTAATGTCATTCTGAAATACTCTTATCAGGCTTTTACAACACATAGCATTAACACTAGTTTTTGCCTGATAAGTGTGTTGGATTATTTGAGTTTAGTGTGTCTAAGACTGGCATTGCCGTATAAGCAAAGACAATTTGAATACTTAAAATTTTTTTGTCTCAGATTATAACGAATGATAATTTGTGGCTGATAATGAAAGTAATATTAAGTGAGCTTCGCCACGATGTTAGACTTAGCTGTACAGGTCATAATCTTTTTTTTTTTTTTTTTAGTTTACAATGTTAGTCGTGTTACAAAATTTATAAGCCGTAATACATAAACATAAGTCGTAATACATTTAAGTTGTACTAACAATATAAAACTAGGTTTCCGAAAGAAGATCATAAGGATCTTATCATCGGAACCTTAAAAAGTAAAAATATTTATTTATAACATATATATATATATATATATATATATATAGAAAATTTAACGTATTTACATTATTCAAAATACAACACATTTTAATATATAATAAGTTGAAGATTTAACAAATACATTTCACATACATTTTTAATAGAATTTTAGAGTGTTGTCCATAGAGAGAATGAATTTTTTTAACTTAATTTTAAAAACAGGAAGAGTAATAGAAGGATTAAAATTTGGTAATACTATTTTATTCTAAAGATAGGGTGCACGATATGCAATACAAAATTGATTGAACTTAGTTCTACGAAAAGGTTCATTTAAAAAACTATTATTTCTTAATGTGTATTTATTTATTGGTTTCAAAGAAAAAAGTTCGTTAAAAACAAATAAAGATAAATCGTTTTTCCATATAAAAGTAAAACATAAGACATTAAATATGTTCAGTTTATAAACATCTAGAACCTTCATATAATCAAAAAAATATTTTGAATGTGAAAAGCGATCCGCATAATTAACTACGCGGATTGCATGTTTCTGACGGCGATAAAGATGCTGTAATTTACTTTTATCCGTACTTCCCCAGGCGATGATTGCATAATTTATATAGTTATGTATAAATGAATAATAAAGTTGGGTTAAGTTTTTTTTTGTTTAGATAATTTCGGGCTTTGTATAAAATGCCAATATTTTTGGAAATTTTTGTGTTTATATGATCAATACGTTTTCTCCAAGTAATATTTTCATCAAGGTAAACACCTAAGAATTTTATAAGAGTATCTCTTCTTATTATCGTGTCATCAATATAAATTTGAGGCATATTAAAATATAGAAAGAACAGAGATGGGACGATAATTACTGATATTGGATCTGTCGCCTTCTTTATGGGTAGGGGTAACCCTGGCAAGTTTTAAACGTTCAGGAAAAATACCTTGATGGATAGATGCTCTGAAAATTTTAAAAAGAATATTTTTTAATTGTTCGTAGCAATCTATAACAATATTTCCGTTTATTTCATCTGCACCAGGTGCTTTATTTTTTTTTAAAGATTTGAAAGCAAAAAATCATAAAATGAGGTTTGGGTATTTTGGTATTTTACTTGACAATTTCAGTGAATTATTTATTGAATTTATCAGCTATTATTTGTGGTTCATACAAGCTATTGTTATCAACTTTAAGCATTTGTGGCAAAGAGCTTGAGCATGTTTTTTGTTTTCCAGTAATTTCTTTCAATACTAGCCAAGTGTTTTTTGAGTCATTTTTAACTTAATCTGTACTCATATAATATAATAATTTGAACTTAGCTGTTAAAAAAAAGGCTTTGAAACTTCCTGGTGCTAATTTAGTTTATGATATCAAGACTTTAAAGGAAGTGGCGGGCTGCTTTGAACATAATGAAATAGATTGTCGCAAAGTTCTTTCTTCTCCCAATCACAAAACTACTGCGCAAGTGTCACACGCCAATGTCCGACACTCTCTGATGTATAGCCAGTTCTATTTCGTCTTCTATAGTCAGTCTGTAAGATCAAAGGTTCAGCAGACAATGACAGTATGCATGATTTGAAGGCAGAAACATTTTTCACTCATCTTTTCCACAAGGTTTCAACACTTATTGTTTTTTCATATACTTATACTGTCTTTCATCAATGCAGATCAATCGCAATTTCGTTTATTTAGAGATGGGTAGCGTGGTAAACAAAGTTATTGCTGTTTGACCATCTTAGCTGGAACGTGAGGAATTAGACTGTGCACACGTAGACAGCTCTGCTTAATGCAGTCATTTAGACAAACGGACTCTTTTAATAATGAGATTGACTATGCATCGTGTGATTTGCTGGCAGAGATTAAAAAATCTGCGACTCCATTATTTAATGCTGAGAGTAATGACACGAGACATGAATTTGGCAAATACTTTACATTGCCCGTAACAGACTGCAACGCATTGCAATACTGGCTAGACAATGAACATGAACATGGGCTTCTGAAGATTACATTGGTTGCTAGAAAGTTGTTGGCTAGGCTATATCAGAAATATTAGAAATGCTGATATTTCTCAAATACAACATGCAGCCCTGTCGGCTACTTAAGCTACAGTTATGTGTTCAGAAAGTTACTGCTTTGTTGTTTTGCGTTGCAACGTTTTATATTTTTATATATAACTTCTGAAATTGCAGTATAGCTACTGCAACTTTAAAACGCATTGCAAATTGATTGTCTTTTATCATTGTGAATGTTAAGTTTTGCGACTAATAAATAAATAGTTAAATTGATATTTAAGAGTTTTATTTTATAAAAGTTTTAAATATTAATTACAGTTCAATTTTTTGAAATCAGGCAGTTTCTATACTGCCTGATTTCAAACCCGAACTGTGCCGAAAACCGAATGCTAGATCTAACCTAACCAAACTTTACAGAATGGGTTAAATTCTCAACTTTACTAATTATGCCTTATTGCGTACGTGCAAGTGATTCTTATTGTGTATTGCCCAAATAAATCAAGTTAGAATATTGATTAAAAATAATAAAAAACTACACTATTTTTATAAATTTATAAAAAAAACGTCTGAAGATAATAGAAACAATCAATAAGTTAACAAATATACTAGTTTCCAGGATTTTTACAGAACAACTGAAAAAATACAGGACTAAATTTAAATTCAAAGACTTAGCAGGATTTCTGTGAATCCTGTGTCCAGATCTTCCGAGAACAAACGCACGTTTTTAAATGAGTTTAAATCTCGAATTTTAAAATTGTTTGGGTGCTAAAATATTTCGTCTAAGTTTTTAAAACAACTGCTTTTGAGTATATTTATTTCTGAACTCAAATACAAAAAGAATATTATAAAATTTAATTCTGCAAACCATTAGAAAGATACATGATATATAAACAATAGTGGGTATATATAGAATACGCAGTGTTGAGTATTGTCTTCAGTCATTTAAGTCAGATTTAGTAATACTAATTTAATGAATACTTTCCAAGCATGGCAACCTTACCCTAGTAAGTGTACACCCCTAATATACACTTTATAATCTAAAACACAGCGACAGTTTGAAAATACATCTGATTTCACTTCAAACCAAATATATTTCCGAACTTTTTTTTAATGTGTCAGGGATTTAAATTGGGGATTAAAAATCCATCGTAGCTAATATCGTATCGATCTTCTAAAAAATCCAAAACAGCAGCAACCGAAGATAGATTATTAAACAACATCTTCTCTAAAACACAAAACCAATATACAATTAAAAAAACACATTCTTTTTGGTAACCATTAAGCTATCATTTATATAAGCAACAAATCAATAAACCTCCTTTGTTTGAAAGCCATTTATCTAACATAAAGATAAGATGATGATGAAAAGTAACAAAGGGAGTACCAAGCGACAGCGCAATGTTTACCTAATTAAAAAAAAACAGATTTTAGATAATATTTTACATCAAAGTATGTTGCATTACATTTGATATAAAAATGTTTAAAAATACACAAGCTTATTTAAAAAAAGTACCCAATCTTTCACACATTGCAATGGTGTAACCTCATAACCAGCATACATTGCTGGATTATTAAGCATGCCTTGAGCCGCCATAACTCCTAAATTTAAAGAATAATTTATACACAATAATTATAATACATACACATATATACACACAAATGTTTAAAAATTATATATATTATGTGTATAAAATATATATGTAGCATGTATAAAACTCTAATTTTATTACTCAACTTCAAGTATTTTTATTACAAAAGTCAAAAGTCAAACGTAAAAACTTGTAAAAAAAAAATCAATTTATATAAAGTAAATAATTTAGTATATTTTTTTTAAATTTAGGTATGTATAAAAAAAGAGAATACTTTAAAATAATGCTTTATAGTATACTTTATTATACTCTATATAATATATAGAATTTAATTTAATAATGCTTTACAGTTTTTTTAAATGGTCTAAAGTCAATTTTGTAAAATTTGTAAACATATACGCCCGGTAGGGGGAGGGGGCGAGTATAAAAGAGGAGGTGGAAATTTTCATGAACATGAATAAAGGTCACAGCATAAAACAAGAGGTCACATCGTAAAACATGTTTTGTGTACTTTGTGTTCGCCCAAATATACATGTTATTCTTCAAAATTTTTAAATAGCATTTAACATTCTCACTTTGTGGTAAAAGGTGTAAACCAGCACAACTGTTGGTAGTGATTGCACCTTCAAATCATAATTAGTGGATGTTTAACAGGTTCCTACAGTTTCTACAATAAAAGAAACATCTTTATACTACATTAATTAATTATACAGACTTGTTGCCTTCAATTAATAGTTGTCCTCTAGAATAACGCGTGATTGTTTAGTATTACCATCATGCATAACTTACAGGTAATTATCTATAATAATTATTAGTTGTTGAATCTTTTCGGCCATAACTGTAACTATAACAACTAATAAAAATCTTATGTATCATTAGTAGTGTATATCTATCCTAATAGACTTCATAATTCTAACAAACACAAAGGCTGCTTCTAAATATATAAACACAATATAAAAACAAAAATAAACAAATATATATATATATATATATATATATATATATATATATATATATATATATATATATATATATATATATATATATATATATATATATATATATATATAAATATATGTTTAATATAATAAAAAATAAGACTAATACCATTAACTCCAGTTTTTTTGACAACATCCCAAGCATCTTCTTTATTTTTTATGTCACCATTTGCCACCACAGGTATTTGTAAACTGTCTTTAATCTAAATATACTTTAGGATATTAAAAATAAGTTAATGAAGTAAAAAGTATTAAAAATAAGGTCAAGTGTCTGAGAAAAAAGGAAATAAACAATTTTTTAAAGAAAAACAATAGTATTACTAAGCATTAATAATGCTTGAATATGGTCTTGAGCAGTGCTCAAAGTGGAGAAAATAAGGTAATGGGATGGTATTAAGATCAGACTGTATTAGAAATAGAATGTTAGACCTAATGAAAGATTTTCTTTAAGTCTGTAGACCTAGCTTATGCTCTTACAAAAAATATGAGGTTATTACAATTAAAAAAAAGTGAAAGGGTAAAAAGTACATTGCGGGGTAAGAAAGTAGGGTAGATCGAGGCTTTACTTAAAATCATCAAGAAAGAAATTGCCTTCTTGAATCCAAGAGATTATATAGGATGCAAAATTATCAGATGCAACAACAGCAAAAGGACTACACAAAGAAAACAACGAAAGAAATCTCAGTCAACTTTAAAGAGATCCATATGTTGGGATCACCTAGTCAGCAAGGGATCCTGAAGATAAACTGTGCTCATTCCATAAATTACACTTCCCAAAACAAAATATTATTGAAGTAATAACATAAATTTTCACAAAAGAAAATCCAGGATCATATCCTTTAGGAATCACAAAATATTTTGGGCATTGGTACAAAAGGTACAAATTTATATAACTATTGAACTAATTTTATATAAATTTAATCATGTGTATAATATACTCATCATATGTTTTATAATCATGTACATAACATAATTTTTATCATGTGTTTAAATTATGCGCGTTTTAATTGTGTGCTTTTTTAAAATTAAAAGTACCAATTCATTAAATTTATTAACTAATAGATTAATTATTAGATTAAACCATAAAATAAATAACACAAGAATATATTTTTAATTAAAAAAATAATAGTATTAAAAATATATATATATAAAAAAGCGTTAAACTTTCTCGTGTTGAAAATAAATCAAAATGCCTAAAAAAATTATTGAACAAAAAAATCCATTCAAAATTTTTTTGCTTAAATAAGTGTTTCTAAATATATTTTGGTATAATAATATATTAACGATATTTTGCTGACCTCTTGTGGTTAGCATCATCAGGTAATGTTGTTATCAGGCATCACCAGGTAATGTCGTTATCAGGGCAGGTCATCAGGTAATGTTGTTATCAGGGCAGGTCATCAGGCAGTTGTTCCAGAATACAGGAAAAGAAAAATTAGAGAATCCCTGGAGATTAACAAAGAGTTCGATATGAGATAGGTATTGGGCAAGGTGTTCTAAATTAATATGATGGGGATAAGATTAAAACAAGAACTTGGGGACCCATTTTGACAAAAATTTAATTGACATCATAACTATATTATTTAATTAGTTTTTATATTTGACGCTTTTTAATGTCTTCTTTTTAAACGATTTGCTTTATGTTATTTTGTAACGTTTTATTATTACCTGATGACACTGATCACAATAGGTAGAGAAATATCGTTAATATATTATTATATTAAAATATATTTAAAAATAGTTATACGTTGCATTTTTATTGAAATCAACTTACATATATATATATATATATATATATATATATATATATATATATATATATATATATATATATATATATATATATATATATATATATATACATATATAATTATTTGATATATTATATTTATACATATATAATTACTGTTTTAATAGCATCATAGTTGACTGGTTCATTTCTTTGTGAAGGCAATCTACCATGAACAGTAATCCATGACACTCCTGCATGCTCAGCTTTCTGACACAAGTCCACTGTTTTTCTAAAAATTACATTTTAGTAAACAACTCAAGTTTTGTTTTAAGCTCAAAAAACAAAACTTTAAAACAAAATATATTTTATATCCTTAAATCTATATAAATAAAGAAGAAAAGAAATAAAAAATATATAATAAAAAGTAATTAACAACAGGAAACTAAAAAATGCATAAAAAAAACAAAAATACAACAATAACAAACACAAAAACTGAATCTGATATCATAAACTATAAAAAAAACAAATCACCATTAAAAAATTTATAAAATCAACTTTATAATCACCTGATATCAGAATGTATTCTAATTTTAATTTCACATGAAAAATCTTGAGGAAGTCGTTGTCTTGTTTGCTTTATCATATCATTTATAAGTTCTGGCTTTGATATGAGTTGAGCTCCATAACCTTCAGCCATTGCCCATCTAAAAAAATTGTGCACATTTTTTACCAGATTTATTGAGATTTATACTAAAACTATTAACAACAAAAACACACCTTTGTGGGCATCCACAATTCAATCCAACACCATCAGCATAGCTATAATGATCATTTTATATGTATATGTGTATATATATATGTGTATATATATATATATATATATATATATATATATATATATATATATATATATATATATATATATATATATATATATATATATATATATATATATATATATATATATATATATATATATATACACACACACACACACACACTATTTATTAATGGCATTTCAGAAAAAAAAAAGGTGAGATGATGAAAGTTACAATTAGTCATGAATAGTTAACTATCCATTTTTAAAGTTAAATTGTCAATGTATGAAATGCATAAAAAGTACACTGAGTATAAAAGTACACTGAGTACACTCTAGTGTAAAAAAACATGTAAAAGATGTATAAAAAGTACCAGAGGTGGAGTAGAAGTATTGGTTTAAATAGTATGCTATCTATTTTATTATAAAGATAAATATATATATTCAAATAAATCTGATGTATCGATGTCTTATAAATACGTATGTATGAATGGATGTCTCATAGCACAATATAAAAATAAGAGGAATCCAGTTTTCATCTAGAATGGTATCCCATAAAAAGATCCACTCTAAGACTTTCCTAAGAGCATCCTACCACACAATTGCCACAGACTTCCACATAAACGCTAAGACCATAAAACACAAGATGGTGTTCAGTATAACATTTAGATCATTATAAATGGTTGATTAGTCGAATAACAATAAGAACAATTGCTGTTCACAGCATATATGAGTAATACTTGTAACAGCATAACAATAACACAACAATGATAAATACATACCAACTGATGATAAAAATCTTATAAAATATATCAATATATGTAAACACAAACAGGATACAGATATGTAACAAAAATATATTTTTTGTAATTTGTAAAAATACCAAAGTATTTTGGTGGAACTGCTAATAAATAATGAATGTTTAAAAGTGATCATCATTACTAGTTATGATTATGAATAATTAAGACAGTAAAACTCAATATTTCTGGATGTGACCTAATTCTGGATGGTTTTAATAAAGTTTAATGACTCGCTTTTTTCTAAAAAATTTATAATTTTTTTTAATAAACATCTAAACATGGCAAATGGAACAAAATAAAAATAAAAAATATATTAAATATTGAAATCACGAAAGATTTCAATTTGAACTCTATTATAACTAAATTACCAAAAAAATATGAAAAAAATAACTTAGATTTGCAAGAAAAAAATAAAAAAAATATATATTTCATATTCATTTGTATTGTTTAAAAAAAAATTAATTAGCAAAAAAATAAAATCCAGATACAGGTAATTATTATTTTATGTCCATGAAAAAAAAATTAAAAATAAATTACCAACCAGCAAAAAAATCTAATGTATAAGAAGTGAAAAAACTAATCTAGCTAGGTGCAAGACATGGAATGATGTTGTAAACAGTGTCTGTTATGGTATGGTTAGATTACTTTTTTCATAGTAGTTGGTGTGATGATCTGATTAAGTGTACAGTAAAAAATAAGATTACCAATATTCAAGTAAAAAACATATGGTACTTATAGTAAAGGTCTCACCTTAATCTATCAAAATATGAGTATATTAAATTCTTTTCTTGGATCGTTTACTCAAAAGAGTACCCACTCTAGCTGGGTACTGGGATAGTCTGTTGACAAAATATCCTCATATATTGTTTTTAAAGACTTTTTATTAGTAATTATTTTTACACCATAATATGCAAAAATAGTATTTGAGGTGTGAGATACTGTAAGAGTTGAGATGTAAGAGTATACACAATCATGACACAAATACAAGAATAAATACATTTTATTAGAGATATATAAATTTATGCATATGTATATAAGGGTGATACTATTTTTTATTTTCTTATAAAACCTTTACCATAACGTGAATAAATGTATTCTAAGAACAGTCTAATAAAAAATAATTAAATAACTTAGAATTTTATTAGGTCAAAAAAAAGTTACTTGATAGAAATAAGAAAAATACTTATCAGGATTACTTAAGTATAGGGTTGCAAAATTTCCGTAAATTTTCAACTCTTTTAATTTTCAAAATTTTGGAAATTTTCAAAAAAAGATAAGTTAATTTATAATTAATAGGTAAAATTTTATGTAATAGTTAGGCAGTTGTTATGGACAATTTTATGGTAAAATATTGTGAAGCAGATCATACAAATTTTAGAAAGCTGTCTTTGAAAAACAGTTTTTTTGATATTTGAGTTTTTTTATTATAACTATCAGTAGCAATTTGATCATTTGTTTACAAACTTTTTTAAAACTGTTTTATCCTGTTATTTGCTATGCATATTGATGTTCATTGCCGTATTTGTCAATATCTATTAAATTGACTGACAAATTACTGAAAACTGTAAAATTATATATAAAAAGATTTGATATAAATATTTGTATATATAAAAAAATTTGATATAAATATTTTACAATGTTTGATTTAAAGACGTTATTAATTAATAAAAGGCAAAAAGTAAGGAAAATTTTCTTGCTAAATTTTAACTATTTAAAAATAAAGCTAGCAATACAAATAAAGAACTAATGATTTTGAGGTCATAAGACCACTGCCATGTTTAAATAAGTGCGTTTAAGCCATAGCGCAGCGGTTAATGCGCTTGCCTCAAAAGCTAGAGATACGTTGTTCAAAGCCAGCTTTGGGCAGGTTTTACAACATCAGTAAGGAAGGGGATGTAAACTTTTCAAATGTGCTTCCGCGGTGTTCTGTGATAAGACCGTAAGGATATCTTGGGGCACCAAAAATTAAATAAAAAAAAAGTCTCACTCACCACAACCTTGCTAGGAGACTTATGATTTTATAAATCAATATATTAAAAAATGAGGGGGGAAGGGTGGCATGTAAAAAGTACAGTTTTTTTAAAACTAAGTAAAAGAGGATCTTTAAACTAAAATTCACCCAACTGAATTGTGTCAAATACCAAGATTAGTTGACTAAATTCGTCAAAAAACCGACTATAACTTAAAAATCACTTTCTTTGAGGGAGTATGCAATATGTAAGCATAAAAAATCTTTTTTCTTTAAAACACTCTACAAAAATAATACACAATAAAACTTATTAATCAAAAAAAGACTTTATTTTTAGTATTTTTAATGAATATTTTATATCATAGTTGAGAAAAGTAAAAGCTAGATATATGTTATACACAAGCTCAAAAGACAAGCTAACGGGGAAAACATCTATTTTTGATGCTTTACAAAAGTAATGTAAGTAAAAGTAACATAACAACTTGAGCATTTTATTGTTTTTTAAAAAAATGTGTGATTCTTAAATTGAAAATAGAAATTTGACTAAGAGATGTGCATTTTTTGCTTGTGGGTCTTTATTATTATATATTTTTTGTTGAAATATTTTAAAATAATTAAATACTATGATGATAAAACACATATTCTTGAAACAAAAAAGAAAAACTATATAATAATTATGAAGTTTATTTGTATAAAATTTTTTTGAAAATTTCCGGAAATTTTCAACCTTATTTAAGTATAATGATCCTTTATCAAAGAATATTCATATCGTTTTAAAATTAGATGAAGTTAATTAGTTACTATATTATAAATTTAGCTTAACTATCATCGTTAGAGTAGAAAAAAATTACTTTCATTTAATTTTCTAATTTAGTTATAAATATATTTCCATAAAAAATGGAGCCTCAAAAAGAATGCTAATGGAGCCTCAAAAAGAAAGGCAGACAACTCTAAACCATGTTCAAAAGAGTCAAGGGAGCTTCTGGTTTCAGCTGCTCCATATGGATTACAAACAAAAAGATTGGCTAATTTCCAGACTGTCCCAGAAATTGGGTACTATCACCATTTAGTTGACACACACCCTGCATCACCATAAATGTTTTTATACAAATAGTGATAGGTTTGGAGATATTTTGAAGAGAAAGTCAACTATAGATTTTCTTATGCCATTTAATATTCTTGACAAAAACGAAAAATGAAGAGCAAAGAAAAATATTTTATATTCATCAAATGGCTAATAAAAAGAGCATTTTTAAATATTAGAAAACCTACCATATATAGAAACTAAAAAGATATGTCTTTTCACTTCTTAAATTGCTAAATTTGTATATTGACTCATCAAAAATCATCTTTTTATATCTGCAAACAATTTCTAAGGTTTTTTAGGCAGCCATTATGGATTAAAAGATTCAATGACAAAGTATTAACAAAGTAAACCTACAGTTGCATATAATAAAAAAACTATAAGGTTTTCTGAAATTTTGTTTTTAAAATACAGAGTTTCGAGGTATGAACAAAATATGTTTTTGCTAACAAAGTTTTAATTTTTGAAAAGATTAGAAATTTCAAACGGTGATATCTTATGAACCACAAAAGTTTTTAAGCTGAAAGTTTAAGGAATTGCTTTTCTCATTGATATAAACCAACCCACCAAGTTTCATCAAAATCGGAGGGGGTCCATGTTGGAATCCCAAAATTTCAATCCATTTGGCATGGAATGACCTTACAAATATTCATCAAAGCAAACCATTTCAGTGGTAGTCCTGAACCATGGTGCTTCACATATAATTTTTCAAGCGCTAAAGAGAATAAAATGTGCACTCATATTCACATGAAGTTGATGGAAAGGTAGCAAGTAAATTTTTAATGTTTTCATAAGAATGAAAATTAATCACTTTTAACAACTCAGTAATATTAAAAAGAGCATAACCTAAAAATTAACGATGAGAATTTGTTCACAAGTTCACAAGGTAAATCATGGAAGTTTAGTAAATTTGTTTCATAAAAATCACAAAGTGATATGATGGAGTCCTTCTAGTGTCATGAAAAAATTAAACTTCTGAAAACATTTTTGAAAAAGTAAACTTTTTTCACCCAACGTGTTCTCTAAAAATGTTTGAACTGTTTTTTTAACAACCAATCGGAACAGTACTTTAAATATGCTCCTCTAACATTTGTTGCCTGGTTGGTAAAAGTTTAAAAAGTATAATACCTCATTAATGTGTGCCAAAAGATACTTGCATATTGCACTTTGTATGAGGCACAAACAGCTAAATTAAGTCTATGACTGTTGCAATGAGCATATGTAGCTTTTTCATTCAGATTTAAAATACAAGAGAACAAACCTAATATAAAATAATCCTTAACTAACATTTGTGCAATTTAAAAAACTGATAAATTCTCTTATTATTAACTTTAAATCAACAAAACACAATATAATTAAAAAAAAAGCAAAAGCAATATAATAAGTAGTTCTTTACTTTGACTGTCAGAGGCTTCATCAGCCAAAAAATAAAATGTTTGAAATTTAAATAGATTTTTATTATGTGTCAGTAATAACTTCTCCAAAACACTTTATTACTTAATGATGTGGTATCTTAGATATGTAAGAAGCGGTTTTTTTTTGATAATATCTAATTTGATATTGAAGATTTTTATCACCAGTTTCAACACAGAAATGTTGCAAACACTTGTTTTTTTAAGAAAACTAAATACTTTACAAGAAATTATATTTTTCTGTAATATACATTTCAAAGAGATAATTTTGTTTTGTCATTTTGTAGCATGATGTTTTCAACTATATAATTAAGCAACATTTTAGAATAACACTTTTAACATCTAACATTAATCAACATTTTAAATATCAAAATAAACCTTATATATTTAGGGTGTGAGTGTTGCGGGATGCCCAACAGTGTTTTTTTATTAAAAAAACTAAATACAAATTAAATATTCAAAACTAAACTAAATAAAAAGATAAATCATAGAAAAAAATAATATTGGGGATGTCCATTAGTGTATTTCGTCATGTATTGATTGTTAAAACTTATTCCGCCTCCCAATTATCCCAAAACAAAGGATTTTGACTAAGATTTTATTTAGGGTGTAGTGTGTAGGGTGTACTACTTTGAGGACATCTAAAAATCGTTATAAGTAAAGAAATTAATATCTTGCTTTTTTAACAAAACAAATAAAAATTTGAAAACGTATTTTATCATTCAATAAAAAAATATTGAGGAAGTCCATTGGTCCTTCTAATTAAATTTTATCTATTTATTATTACTTTAAACTCTAGTTAAGAAATATATCTTTTTATAAACTTGAAAAACCGCTCTAAACAAGAAGCAATTTTTTTTAATCAGTGTTAATATAACTATAACAATCCGATAATAAAACTTAAATCTAATTTACTTGAAGGTTAAGTAAAAAATAATTTTTATACGCTTTGTTAAAATATTATATTTACTTTTTTTCCTTTTTAGATTCAATTTTATTTTAGGGTACCTCTACAGACATATTAGATGTACCCTACATCTGCCCCTGCACCATATGATTAAAGCATTAAGAAAGTGGAATGTATGGTCATTGCCCTTTGGTCAGAAGGACCAATATTTTGGTACATTCTGCTTAAAACACTACATACTAGTGGAACTTCTAAAAATCTAGCAGCTATAAAGGAAACATTGTTAGAGTAGATGTTGTTAATAAAATATACCTTATCATATTCGACACCTGCTCTGTCAATACTGGTTCATAAATTAATATTATTATTTATTTATAAATATGTATGATGCAATATTAATTATTTATAAATATGTATGATGCAATCGGTCAGAGGGACCAATATTTTGGTACATTCTGCTTAAAACATACTAGTGGAACTTCTAAAAATCTAGCAGCTATGATAAAGGAAACATTGTTAGAGTAGATGTTGTGATAAAATATACCTTATCATATTCGACACCTGCTCTGTCAATACTGGTTCATAAATTAATATTATTATTTTTTTATAAATATGTATGATGCAATAAATTACATATATATGATGCAAAATTATATTTTGCTTTATATTTTTATATTTCGCTTTATATTTTGCTTTAGGTGGAGCTTATAATGGTTCTGGTGGAATAATAGGCATTTTACGAACTGAGCAATTTGACAGACAAGTTCCGTATTATGGGTGTAATGTTCACATTTTGGACCTTGTTTTTAAAAAAATGGTAATTTTCTATTTAACAACACCATCAAAATCATCTGTTCTAAATGATTTTAAGTTTATAAAGAAACTAAATAATAAGTACCAACAATTAAAAGAATCATATAATGTCCTGCATGAAACACCTCATACTGAGCTCCTTTCAATTCGTAGATAAAAAAGGCAATCATTGAAAGAAATAGCTAAGTTTATTAGTCAAATGCATGATTTAAAATGAGGGAGGAAACTTGGTGTTAAAGTCACATTAAAAAATGTGCATAGGACGAATGAGGTTGCTAAGAGAGGACTCTGAGCTATTGATATCCGAGCTTACCGAGCTAATGTCTGATGATACTCTTGAGAAAATTTTCTTAACTGAAATGTTTATTCAACAAAAAAATGTCTAACCAACAGCAAAATGTCTAACCAACAATAAAATGTCTAACCAACTATAATCTAACTTTTTAACCAATAATAATCTAACTTTTTAAACTTTGTTTTATTATATTTATAGCTTGTATGGTAAAAAAAAAACAAAAAAATAAAAATAGGATTTTTGTCTTATTTCTTTAAACAATTTTTTTTTTTGACCTAATAAAATTTTCAAAATTTTTTTATTTAATTGTGTTTTGGACACAATTATTCATGTAGAAAAGACTTCACATAGTATTCTAAAAAAAAGTTACTACAGCATTTCCCTAATATATATATATATGTTACCCAGCTTTGCTTGGTATTAAAAAGTACATTTTAAAAAAATAATTAAGCTTAATTTTTTTTTGGATACAAATGACTGTCTAGTCAGTGAACTTATTTTTTAATTTAACCATTGAGATGCATCATTTGGTAATTTAACTCATTTGTTGCACAAAATAAAGTAATTTTAGTTATTTTAATTTTGTTATTAAAGAATAATAAATTTTTTATTATAACAAAAAATTAAAAGCTTGAATAAATTAATCAAAATTTTATAAAAATTGCTTCATAAAAAATCACTGCTTTACAAGCACTATTTTTTTATTAAAGAATATCCTATATTTCAAGTTTAATAATTAAATCAAGTTTTATTTATACATTTAAAAATAATAATGCTTTCATTATAATTTTATTATACATTAAAAAATAATAATGTTTTCATTATAATTTTATTATACATTTAAAAATAATGTTTTTATTATAATTTTATTATACATTTAAAAATAATAATGTTTTCAGCATATAGATATAAGGTCAGCAAAAAACTGTAGACAGTGTTGCAATTGCTGAAACTCTGAATCTGAGGGTTAAATTAATAAAAAATAGTCTTGATTTAAAAAAAAAAATTCAGTAGTACTAAAACTTTTTTAACTTCTAGCAGTGACTTAAGTCAGTACTTCCAGTAGTAACTTAGTAATTTAAAAAATAAAATAAATAAATGACAATATGAATAAAATAAAAACTTTATTTGAAAAGACTTGTTACCAAAAAATTATTACGGGTAAATAATTTCAGCTGCTAGAGCAAGGTCTTCAGCATTATTTGCAGCAAATTGAACAACTAAGGGTCTGTCGTCTGTTATGAAAAAGATAAAAATATTACAAAAATAAATATTTATAAAAATAAAACATAACCTATGTACATTAAATGATACAAAAAGAAAAAAAGAAAAAAAAAAACAGAAATTGAAAATTAAAAAAAAAATAAAAACTTATAACATAAACAAAGTGCCTTAAGTTGACCGCAAGGCTTTATGTCCACCATTTTTTTTAATCTGATTTTTTTTTCACTACTTAAAATGATACCTACAAAATATTTTTAAAACAAGTTTTAAAATCAATTTTGACACATCTATCAAGGAATATCAGAAAAATTTAATTGTATAGGCAGATTGACCTCTAAAAAGGTGGGGTGGATGTGTGGGGTGGATGTGTACTGGAAAAAAATAATTTAACACTATATATTACTATATTACTTAAAAATTACGTTACATTTGCATAATATACAAGATGTTTACTAAATTTATATACATTATTGGCTGAAATCTTTTTAATTCAAAACTTTTGAATTTTTTAACCATCAGGATGATGAAATATATATCAGGATGAGAAATATTCATTTTGTTATGTACATACACCCTTTTACATTAGCATAAATTGACTTGCATTTTTGTTGGGCAAACTTATGCAGACCACAAGATTGATGGATACAAATAAGTAAAATGATTCATTATTTTGTGGATTTTCTAGGTTGAAGGTAAATTTGTGTCAAAAGTTTCTGCAAGAACTTGAGTGTGGCAAAGTGAACTTTTAAATTTATTAAATACTTTTATAACATTTTAATGGAAATCATATCTAGAATGTACGATTGAATACGCAAGAATGTACGATTGCCCAATAACCTTTTAAGCAGGGTACTATCCATCTTAACCAGATCCTAATCACAGTAATATATTTCTTTAAATATTTATAACAAATGCACAGACAAACAGATTATAATTCAATTATCTTTAAATGATGAGAATCACCTACCACGATATTGATGTATTAAAATTGAAATTCTGAGAAATAAAGTCTAAAGTTTTATCTCTAAAAATTATACTTCAATTACATTTAAACAACCAATAAAAGATGAAGTTTTAGTGAAGGATTTGATGTCTGCATCAACATCAAGATAATAAAAACTAAAAACTATTAACACTACTATTATAATTCTACTTTAGACTTCGACTAACCAAAATAGCAGAACAGACATTACTAATAATTAATTTCCAAACAAAAATAAAAATCTAATTAACATCATCGATCAAACAGAGAGAAAAGATATATATAATAAAGAAAATATATAATATATATTTATAGATGGAGTGAAAATGATGCTTTATACAATGAAAAGTTTTTTATTGTTTGTTTTTTTCCTAATCTTAACTAAAATGAGTAATTAAAACAGCATATCTTATCATATTCACACAACAATCTACCTCTAATTTGTGATAAATCATTTATATTATATATATTTACTTAAATATTTTAAAATAAAATTTAAAAATATATGATTACTTTAATGCTGTATATACCTTTCTTAATTAAAGCAATATTATAAAAGTTAAAATAAAACAAAATACTACAAACATAATCATTTGATTATCACTATAATATAAACATAAAACAAAACAGTAGCCTTAAATATGTAGTGTAAACATAGAATATTCTGTTTATTTTATACTAATTTATTGTATACTTTTATTTGAGTTTATCAGTTATTATTCTTACATTCATAAGAGTATAGCAAAAAAAGTAAATGAAATGAAGACAATAACTTTAAATCTGAAAACCGCTAGTTTATAACACATCAAAAGGAAAAGTACCTTTGTTTGTAGTAAAATCACTATCTCTAGCCTCAATAGATTTAATAAATGAGTCTGCCATTATCATTGGTGTGTAAGCTAGATCACAATTATATCTAAGCAAAAAAAAGTGATATTCAATATAAATGTACTTTGACAATAAAAAAAGACAAAACTTGAATAATAATAAGAAACTATACCTTCTCACCAGGTGTCTAAAAGGTTGTCTAAAATATAATTAAAAAATTGTTTTAAATATTCATAAAAATTTTAAACTCATAAAAAATATTTAAAATGAATATTGAATATTTTTTAATTGTTTATTTTTAATATAAATATGTTGCTCTCTAATAAATTGAAAGATAAAAAGGTGTCAACAATAGAAAACATACATTTGAAATGAAAAAATTTCTTTAATTTAAAAAAATTGGTTTTTGTTCATAACAAATGTAATTTATGGCAAAAATATTAGATTAATAACAGAGCAAAATATTAAATGCAAGATAATGATTGAGGTAATTAGACTAAACAGTACAATAAAAATCTTTTCAAAAATAATACTTTATAATTAATATCTAATAATAATCTTATATAATACATATTTGATAAATGTATAAATTGTAATAAAAATTTAAGTATATAGAATAAACCAATAAATGATAATTCATATTAAATATTCATAAAATAAGAAATCTAATAAAAAATAAATAGTGTGATAAATAGTATAATAGTGTGATAAATAGTAAACAAATAGTAAATAAATAAAAATAAATAGTGAAAAATCTTACTTTGAATATCTGACCATTGGTGCACAAACATAAACTAGATCTTTTTCTTCAAACAAATTCATTTTTTTTTATCTTTTTATATATATTTAAAAAAAAAAAAAAAAAAAAAAGCAATTATATTATAATTTTAATAAATTTTATAATAATCAATCTCTAGCTTTTAGTCGCAATTTTATTAAATGAAAATGAAATGAAGAATTTATTGTGGTAAACTTTTTTGATGTTATCATTTGGGTGTACAGCATAAATACCATACATAAAATCTTACTTTTAAGCATTTTTACTTTTTGTTAGTTTAATGGTATTTATTTAATGTTTATACTTTAGAATTGAATAAAGAAAAATCATAATAACTCGAACTAATATCTCATATCAGCCAAAGTTCAACTTTCGCTAACCAAAATTTGCAATACTCAAATATAATAATAAAATAAAGTCAAACAATTTTCCATGGTTCGATGGAGGTTCAAGTTATCGGGAATTAACTATAGTTAAATTTAATGGAATGAATAGAAATTTAATTAATATAAATTACATTTAATGAATTTATATTTGATTTTACGAAAGTAAATAACTGTTTTAATACCTAATTTTAATACCTTAAGTAGCTTTTAATACAAAAAAAAAAAAAAAAAAAAATTTAGATAGCAAGTTGTTAAATAATCTTTTTTAAGAAAAATAGAACAAAATAACTAATTTTTAAAACTATTCTTCAACTTGATTTTTTAACTAATTATTTTTTTAAAATGAAGTTCCAATTAAATTAACTGTAGATTTAAATATGTAAGGTATAACAAATCAAAAATTGAACATATAGACTTGAAATATTACAGAAATATTATAAAACCTATCTTTAGACCTTTAGGGTTTATTTATATTCAAACCTCTAACACTAAAATATCTAAAAATTGACTGCTTTAAACCGTTATTTTTATGAAAATATTATCAAGATACTACAAACTTTTTAAAAATATTTTTAAAATCCAAGATAAAGGTTTTAAAACACTGCTTTTGATTTCAAGCCTCTTATTCAAAAACTCATAAGAAATTGGCTCCTTTATTTTTAAATTTATGGTCAACATTATAATTGTCATTACTAGATTACTTTTGCAAAAAATTAATAGAACATATACAAAATCATAAAAACAAGCAAACAAAATTCCACGATTTACAGCCTACATAGAGTTTATTTTGCAAAAACTAGATTAAAAGTTATACAAATGTGAAAAAACATGTAAAAATATGTATTAGCTTCCTTAACAGTTAATTTCGGCCACATTACTAAACTTACATAAAAAACTTGTTTGTTAAGATATTTATTTATGAACTTAGCCTTTGTTAGAACTAATAATTAAATTTATATTAAATAATTAAACTAAAATAAAAAAGTGAAGTTTACTTTAAATTAATAAACGAGAAATTATTGTAAAAGTAATTAATCACCTATAATTATTTTACAATTTTTAACTATTGATTATTCACTTCTTTATTTTTATTTTTAACGAAAGAATGAATTTAAACATTTTGATTTCCTGGAAATTCAGGAGCTTCTAAATGTCAAGAAACATAAAAGTTATACATTTTCATTAGATTGTTTGGTTTTCTTCTCTGGCGGAGATGAGGAAAAGGGTATTGAAATATTAGAGTCCTCATCTTCCTCATCATCTTCAAAGATCATTTCATCTTCTTGATCATTGTTAATTTCTGTTGATAATTTATTTTCCGCTGATGTTACTTTAGATTTTTTTTCCTCTTCAACAAGATTGTTTATTGTTTGTTCAACTTGTTGTCGAATGGACTGGATTCCTTCAGAAACTAATTTTAAATTGTGATTTTCAGTTAAGGGAACATCATATTTAAGAACTAGTTCTCCAGAATTTGTTATACTGCACGAACACGTGGGAACCACCACATCCATGTTTATGTTATTTGTCAAGCCGCTTACTTGGGTTCCGTTTTCAATAAAAAAAAAGAAGATTTCTTATATTGGGCACTCTAGTGTAGTTAATGCAATTTAAATCGCCTTAACCTTGTAATATAGAGTTGTTGTAAGATAGAGTTGACAAGCCTTGTGCGCCTTAAATTTGCAAATATTTACAAGTTATTCAAATTTGTTTATTTGAAATTAACATGATTTTATCAGCGTATTATGACCAATTAGTCTGGACGCTACGTGTAATTTTTTCTTGGAAATGAAGTGGATATTACAAAAACTACTTAAATATTTTAAGGTTGATATCTTGAATGAGAAAAACTTTAAGTGTCTTTTTAAAAGTGCTGAAAGGGTCAAATTTGGGCCTTTATTTGGTACTAATGACGTCAGGCTATTTTTTTAAAAATCAAACTAAAAAATACATATTTACGTCAAACGTTAGATAATCTCTTGAGAAAACCTTATAACAAATAATAACATCTTGAGAAAAACTTTCGATCAATTCTAAAATTGATTACAGGGTCATATTTGGGCCGTCATTTGATACTGATGACGTCACGCGGATATATTTTTTTAATCAAACTAAAAAATACATATTTTACACGCACAGGAAATTAACTGTAAAACATCTTTTGGAGCAGGTTGAATGAGCACCTCAAATTGATCACCAATTTCTTGCCATCCATATTCATTGGGTTTTGGAATATCGGGATTTGCCTCTTGTGATCGTTTAACAATTGCTGCTTCATACAAAACTCTCTTGCAATGACATATAAAAGCATCCCTAGTAGGTGGAAGCTTTTGGGGTTTCGGAACTTCTTTCTTGGTAATAAACTTAAGGTATCTTCCTTTGTTCATATCAATGCATTGCAATCCATATAATAGAAATATAAACTTTTCTATTTGGTGAAAATGGGTTACATCAAAGGTAAAAGAGTCCCCAACCTGGAAAAAATTGACTTTTACTCTTCAGACTGTCTCATTAGTTAGAAGATCTTTGACTTATAGCAATACCGTAAAATGCACTTGTATAATCGTTCGCGCTAAATGCATGAAGAGCAGGAAGAGCTTTGCAACAATCAGTACCTAACTTGAAGGCAATAAGATTTATGTCAAGAGTCTGTCTTTCAGTAGAAACGGCAATATCCGCAAATAAGTGTATTTCAAATTGATTTTGGAAGTACAAAGCGCAAATAGCAGTATTTGTGTCAACCGTGTGAATGCAAATGTTTTCAAAACCAATAGATGCAACATGTTTATAGCGCAAAAATACTTTTGTATCAGCATCTTCTTGACTTATGTGCATTGGTAGAACTTCCACGCTGGAAACCTTTATGTATAATATAATTTTATAAGATACGCTACAAAAACAGAAATAACTTATACCAAGTAAATAAATAAAACAAAGTAATAGTAAAAATGGTAGCATCTAGCAAATATTTGTTCTCTCCGCTGAATCTTAAAATTTAAAGATCCTGATTGACTTCTTTATGCACGTTTGAATGATTTTATCAAGCTAAGTTTAAAAAAACTTAGCTTGATAAACTACGCATTTTGTAAGCGTTTCATATCCGTTTCTATCTTTATTATTCTTTTTGCAATAGCAAATGCAACATTCTTCATCCGCAATAATTTTTTTCTGAAACAAGAGAATTATTTTAACTTTAGAGTTGTACATACAACAATAAAAAACGTGAAAACTGAGGGTAATATTCTTTTTTATGCATTTCCCATCTAAGGGTTTTCTAGTTGACCTGATCTATCTCTTTTCCGAGCTGAGATTCTGCGCTTAGATGAAGATGCATTATCCACTCTCGTTGTCTTTTTCTGCTCTATTTTTCTGATATTGTAAAATGTTTAATGTTTTTTATATTCACATACTTATTGTAACATCTTTGATGAAACAAGAGTTGTTGAATATTTATGATTTTAAAGTCATTTTGAATTTGACTGTAATTAAAAAAAATATTATTATCAAATCCATGTTATTTTTTTTTCCGTACGATTGTTTTAGCCATATAAAAAGAAATAAATTGAGTTGGACATTTAGTTTGTGACTTACCAAGCATTCTTCACTTTCTCAAACGCATTTTCAGTAAAACCACGCAGTTTGTAATTATTATAATCAACTTCTCTATGAAGAAGTATGCAAGCATTTTTAATTTCTCTTTTAGGAACTAGATTAAGATGCTGCGTTTTTTTGCTACTCGCCATTATTTACTTTAGTAATAATAAATAAATAAAAAATAAATAATTCACGTTTTTTTTATAAACAGTTTTTGAAAAGTAAACATTTGTTAACGTAAACAAAGAACGGGAACAAATTTTTTTTTCAAGATATAAATTAAAACTATTTAATACAACACTAGCAGTAAGCAACCCGTTAAGTAAATTAAATTAAAAAAAAAAACCGCGTAGAGAAAAGCCTTGAAACTACTTTAGAATAGTCTAGAAAATGACGTAAGTCGACTATTAACTACAATTTCATTAGCGTATTAAGTAAGGTTGATTGCATAGATTTGAATAATTATATTTGAAACATCTAATTTTACAAATTATTAACTCCCTGTCAATAATTTGTGAAAACTAAATCAATGCTTTGCGGTATTCGATTTAAAAACAACATGGCGGATATTTTCCAAGTGGTATGTAAAAAATTTTAAATTTTTAAGTTATAAGGAACAATTCTATATAAAAATTAGAATGTCCTCTCAAAATATTTAGTTTTCCTTTTTTTTTTACATGTAGCGATCAGACAAAAAAAGAGCTTTAGATGTTATAATTTTTTTTGCTTCAGGTTTTTTAACATTTAAAGTGACTTCTTTTTTATATAATTTTCAAAACCTTTCTACAATCTCTAATAGTGAATCTAAAGAACTCCATTTTGGAGTCTGTAGATCAATTTTGCTTTTTGGCGTTAACATGAACTTAGTTAAAACCTTATAAAAAAATACCTTAACTCACTATGGAGCCTAGCTCTAATCGGTTATGACATATATTAACTATATAAAGTTGTCAAAATACAATTCTTCTATCAATTTTTACAAAAATTACAAAAATTCCGACCAAGAAAGAGCATATAGTTAAAAAAAATTGCTAATAAACGATCAGAACAGATCATATTATTAAACAATTATGTTCATTTCATCTAA